TTGGTTTTTTTATAAGAAAAATTGACTTATTAATAAGTAATATGACTAGCATTAATATTTGGTATTGTTATTTTTGAAAATTAAAAATTCTGGGGGCTAGCTAGTTTAGCTCATTTGTTAAATTCTATTCTAAAATATGTTTATTAATTCAGATTTATTAGTTAGTATTAATATTTCAACGATCTTGAAAAATTATAAATTAAATTTCTAAGTGTCTCCATAGCTCCCCTCCTGATTTTCCGCCACCTGATCTATTCCCAAACTGTCATCGCTAATTGCTGGCACCGCTTAAAGGAGATTGATTGTGTCATGGATGCCATTTCCATTTCGCCCCCCCTTTTTTCCTCGTTTCCCACACCCCTGCCCAAAATCGGTGACGTCGCCGTCCATATGGCGTATATAGGTATATATAGATCGAGTCGCATGATATATATATATACATATATAGAGAGAGAGAGAGAGGCGTTGCTGGTCGGTGCGACGATTACACAATATATCTTCCCGCTAACAATGTACAAATATTAAATGTATATTTTTATCACACTTTGTTTGGGGCGGGGAAAATCGGGGGAGCTTTTCTCGGTTAGTGTCACAGAGCGATTATAGAGACGTTCTAGTCACCCAAATTCCTATAAATACATTTATCATGGTATTCTCCCTGCTTAATGACGCGTAGACGCGTTTCTATAATTTACACTTTCCCCCAATTTTCGTTGCACGATTTATTAATAACAGAAAACAAAACGAGAAATAGAAGAAATAGTGCCGGCAATCGTGGATCATTGATTTTCGAGAGCATTAGAATGGGGGGCATTTTACACATGAAAAATCAAGAACAAATATCGCACAGCTAGTTCAAATTTGTATCCAATTTTTTGTGCAATGTAAGAACACTTTTAGATAATTAAAACGACCCCAGGGCTTTGTAGAAAAAACAATAAAACTTTGACTGGCCCAATTACCATAAATCCCCGATTATTATGGACCAACTATATAGATCTAATGGCCAGATCGGTCATTAACTTGGACAATGCAGTCATAAAAATTGAAAGACCTGCAGCCATCAATTTCCATCCGATCGATCCCTGCCGCTCCTTCATTCTTTTGCGATATGTCAAAAATTGGCATTTCTTCTTCTACGCCACTATATAGCCTTTCTCGCCCCGACTTTCCCCGACTTCTCCATCTCTCATCCATATTTCTGCGCCCGGCATGTCTAGATATTTATTGAAAAGGCGCAGACAAACATAAAAGTGAAATAATATTTCTGGCCAGATGCCAGGGCATTGCTGAAACAAAAAGCCATGGATATGCCAGTGGGAATTGGGATTTTGGGAACTGGGAACCGGGAAGATAGGGAACATAGGGAACATAGGGAATATGGCCAAAGGTTCTCGGAGTGGAAACTGTTTATATTTGACTTATGCGCGTGTATTTTTGGTCCCCCCTCGACTTTTGAAAAAAGAACAAAAATAAGGGGCACTGCCGTCGCCTGGGGGAGTGACAGATCGGATCAGATGGGATCAGAATCAGACACTTCCTAGGTGATTCCTTCGCTAAACAGTGGGTAATCCCCATTAAATTGAAAAAATAATATTTTTTTTAGGGTTTCGTTTTAAGAAACTTAACAATTTCCACCATAAACATAAGCGTTTTATTCATGGGTACTAAAAATGCCATAATTTTTATTGAGTCAAGAGTAAAATAAAGACTAGATACAAAAGGTGTTGTTTTACTTTAACTTGAAATGCTGTATATTTTTAAATTAATGCATTTTAGTCTATTAACCTTAAACGTGTTATTTTAGGACAGTAATGAAGTTTACAAATTTCCTAAGAATACGCACATACTTAAAGAACTATGTAAGTTGTTTATTTTAATGTTTGGAAATTTCTTTTAAATGACTTCAACACTTTGGTTATTGGTAATCATTAAACTTATAGGTAAAAAATTGTTGTTTATAATAAAAAAAATAATTAAGCTTGCACGTAAAATATAGAAAACTGATAGTAAAATAGGTTATATTGGCTGAAAGATTTTAAAACCTTAAATGGGCGAAAACTGAAATATATTTAAATGGTCGCTGTTTAATACTTTTCTCGTGCTTAAATACCTTTTTTTAATGTAGAGTCATTTAAAATGATATTAAATAAATATAAATATTTTGTTTTGTTTATTTCACAACGCAGTATTTTTGTTATCCATGCATTAGTTCGACCACGGTGCCTGGAGTCTACAGGCCCGGCAAAGAATTCTTCTGAGACGCCTCTTTTGCCCTCTGGCTTTCGCTTTGATTGTTGCTCTTCTGCTGCAGTTGCATTTACGCGATGCTATTGCGATTTGAACGCTTGCCAAATTGCTTTCCACACACGCACAGTGAAAGACGTGGAAAAGCGGGAAAGCGGGTGGAAAATGCGGGAGAGGCCACCCTTCTTTTCTCTTCCTCATTTGGGCTGTCGTCGGAGAAATGCAATTGGCGATTGTATACACAAAAGGGCAGACCAAGATGATGGAGGCCAAAGCAAATCAAACGCATCATTTGACTTCCGGCAGGGCGTGGCAACAGACCTCTCCCCGAAAAAAAACAGCTGTATTCAAAATAATAGCATAAATTGCCACTCAAAAAATCGTATTTTGGATTTAATTTACACTAAAACACTTTCAATTCTATTTAATGTATGTAAATTCTAAAATTGGAATGTTTGGCCTGAAAACAATACAAAAATCTTAACCCTTTTTTAAATGTTCGATCTTGGGTAAATTAAAATATTATTAAAATAGCTGGTATCATTTAATTAAAACATCATTTTATTTTAAAGGTGCAATTTTATAAATTTTCTGAATAAAATATGTTGTTTATTTTTAAGGTAAATTTTTGATGTGCAAAATATTTGCTAAAATTTGTAATGCATATGAAAAGATTTGTAAAATTGTTACCATAGGACCATAGGACCATTTTAGGTTTTGATTGCCTTTAAAACCATTTTTTATTCCGTAAACTACCAAAGCTCTGTTACAGATCAATTCCAACATAATTTGTTATTATTACCCATTGGGTAATATTTAAGACAGATTCAAATATAAAACTATATACAACACTCAAAGTTCGAATGGAATCGAATGTTGGGAATAAAATAAAAATATAGCAATAAATTATAATAATTCGCTTGTTATAAGTTTGCCCCTAAAATTTTGTGCTCCTCTGTTCATGTGCACCGATTGCCGTCATTGGCCGATAGAATGTGCTGCAGATGTTTTTCGGGCCAATTAAAGCCAAATGCCAACGACAATGGCAAATAGTTTGGAACTGCAGCAGCCGAAAAGTGAAATGCTGAAAGCCTGAAAGACCAAACGCCAAATCCAAAGAATCGAAAGACGGCAGAAATGCAAACTTCTGGGGCACGATCATCAGATCACCAGCGCAGCGCGTGTGGTGAAATATTCGAGAGTGGAAATTCGCTGGCCAAGATTGACGGACAGCCGCCAGTCGGGCGCCCACTAAACAAACTGAACTCTCACCTCGCCAGACGGCAGACATGGGGATTACCACCTGCCAGGGACTCGGACTCAAGACTCAAGATCACGATGATGGGGCGACATTGTCATGTGCCAAAGCAAACAACCCGTACACAATTTGCACAGCCACCCAATCCCCAGTCCCCAGCCTGCCATCCACAATCCCCAGCTGTCTGAAGATGGTCCGAGCATCCGAATCCCCGGCTAATTTACGATACAAGTTATTATTAATTTGTCATCGGGTCGGGCATTAAAATCCCCCCGGCAAAAGAAAATACAGACGGACTTATAACGAGAAGGCGAATGCTGATGTCGTGGTTTTGGCACTCTTAAATACCCAGCTTTACGGATTTTATTTTATTTTATGAATAAAGTGGATGTTTTATTTAATTTAATGTCATGAATACAATTTGATACGTTTCCTTGATAATTGGAAGTATACTGTACTTATCCATATATTATTTGTGAGTAATAAAATAAAATATTGAAGTTATTGGTGTAATTATACCAACTACCATCATGTTATAGTACAGCATTTCTATATTTTTTTTTAATATTACAAAAATATAGTACATTCTTGGTGTTCAATAAAAGAAATATATCACATTTAAATTTTTTTTTCGATTTATTATTCAAAAATATAAAAAAAACAATTAAAAATTATTGAACAAATACTACAGCGTGATTTATTATTAATTTATTACCATACACAAGTGTGTTCCTATAATATCTTTAAACTATATAAACTGAAATCATAAACGTATAAGAACAGTAACCAAAATAATTGATATGATTTATTTATTTATTTGTACACTGTAAGCTTAAGTCTAATACTAGGCTACAGGATGGTTGTCAGCCATAGCTGAATTTATATATATGTATTACCTTTTTAAAACATTAACCAAATTAGTTATGTTTGTAAAAGACTTGCAAATGCCATCAGGATAAATTGGTGATTATTTCACAAAACCAATTTCGTAGGCAATGAATACACCTCATGGTTGTCCAATTAATGGGTACAATTAAGCAAGAATTCGTGTCTGCCTGTCTGTCTTTTGGATCGCCCGATATTGTGGTAGGTAAGCCCGGCGAATAGACATACTTAAGACTGGCCCCAATGGTCCATGGACCTGGGCTAATTGACGAGGGCCCATAGAAATGGAATAGAATGGTATGGAATGGAATTAGCAAAGACAATTATGTCGCTGGGGAAGGTCACTCACTAATGCCTAAGCTATATGTGCTTTATGCTGTATGCTATATGGCATTGTTCTCTTGGCTGGAATCGGGGGTCCACAATCTACCAAACAGCTGGCGAATGTCACTTGTCATGGGGTATTTTTCTCGCTTTTACGACAGTTCCAATGCGACATCACGCCCACATGGAACTCAAACTCACCTTTGCAGATCTCTATAAATACGTATACAGTATAGTACATATGCCACTGTGGCCACTACATCTGTCCTCTATTCGCTTTTTGCAGGCAATCTTATTTTATACACCAAGATGGCTGTGGAAATCTTGGGAGGGTGGCAAGATTCATGCGCTCATCATGGACTTAGACATAGGCATTTGTTCCGAAGCCGAGAAAAAACAAAAAAAGAAATTACTTTTAGATTATTTGTGGGAAAATTTAAGGTAAGTACGAACCATATCGATTAAGCCCCGCAAATGGCCAAATGAATATAAGAGGAGTTGTCTAATTTGGAAATGAAATTTTAAAAATTAAATGATTTTTATTAGAACTATACTTGCTGTTCTCAAAATATATAAAATTAACGTAAATGTTTAAACTTATAAAATTAAGTATGGGGTTTTCCATTCAAAAAAGACTGTTTAGCTTCACCAACGTAAAATGTTGATTTCTCCAGAATAAACTCAGTATTAAGTGGATCTTTGATTATTTACCATAACATTTAGAGTTTAACAACGTAAAATGTTGAGTTCACCAGAATGAACCCATTTATTAAGTCGATGGAAAGAGTATAATGCACCTGATCTCACCTTTTGTAGACGATTCCCCGAACAAACATTTCCGGGCAATGGTCCCCGTAATTAACAAAGAATTCTCCGGAAAGCGACTGTGACTCACGAGTCAAAGTTCTTCAGAGACAATGGAAACTCGAACAAACGATTTGGCATTTGCAAAACTATTTATTTACATCTGAATCACTGCTAATTGCCTAACTTCCTCGATTTTTATTCACAGATATCACAATTGGTGGGCGTACAGATATTACGTGTGTGAGCTGCTCGCCCTTATAAATGTGATAGGTGAGTACTAGTGCACGGAATAAAATATATCCTGTATAATATATATTTAGTATTATCAAACCGATGTGTGTTGATATCGCTATGGTCTTAAGGGACTGTAAGGATCTCAGCTCATATCATTTAACGCTGCGAACATATTAGTTTGATCTTAGCTCAGCTATGTTATTGAGCCTAAAAGATCAAATTGATAGAAAAAACATTAAAGATGGCTAAAGTCGAGTGTGTTGACAAGGAGTTGCCTGGTACTCATATTAAGAAATGTTCTAAGTACTAAATAAATAAACTAAAGTAGTTTCTTTTACCAGTAAAATGAGATATTGTTCAATTTAATTTTCAATTTCCATTTCAAGATTAATACCATATAAATGACATGTGCTTTACTTTTTTATATAAAATATATACAGCAAGCACTGTGCTTTCTTTTCGGTTCATCTGCCAATCTTTGGACTTATCCAGGTGCCAGTGAGATCGGTAAACAATGTTTCGGGGTTAACAAAACGGATTCCTGGGACGGGGGAAACATAAATTCGACATTCATTAACATTCCCCGTTCGATTTTACGCCGAAAATCCAATGACGAATTTTTATCGACTGACCGCCCCGCATCAAAATAAACAAAAGCTCCCCAAATTTCTGGTCCCCTCGTCTTCTGCGGCGTACGCTCGCTGAAATCCGAAATCTGACAAAATAATGAACTGTCAGAAAACATGGGAAATAAACAATAATAATGCGAGTAATACACGTTTATAAAATGGCTGACATCGCGTTCGGAAAAGTGCGAGGGGCGATCGGTTGGGAAACGCGGGCCTAATTGGCCAGAAATTCGAAATGGGTCAATTAGCCAGCAGGGGAAAGTGGAAATGTAAATGGAAATGGAAATGGAAATTGAAATCGGGGGGTATTTGCCTTGACTGAAAGGTGAGGCGCCATAGAAAATGCATTTAATGGAAGATCTGAATAATTTTTTTTTTTGACGTAAAGATTTTTAAAACCACATATTAACAAATTTGGTCCTATTGATTATAACTTTTTTGTTTTGTACACATATATAATGTTCGGGAATTTTTAATATCTCAATATCGGCTCAAATGTTGTATTTATTGAACGTCTATTTTACTGGTAAAAGAATCTGCTTCAAATATGCATTTGAACTGATAATATAAAGGATGAAATTGTAAAAACTATTTGGGAAATTAAAAACTACTAAACTAACTTTTCTCTAATTGAGTACTGTCGAGGTGCTCGACTATAGCTTTCTTGCTGGATAATGTACATTCGGTCGGGATGTAGAAATATGTGTCAGTGGAATCAGGCTTTTTCCTCTGTATATGAGAAACCCCCATCTATCTAGCCTATCTAGTTGCCAAATAAATTTAAAAAGTAATCAAGAGCCATTCAGCAAAATGCTTCTTCATCAAATAGCTTTACTTTCGGCCACACATTGGTTATTACGATATTAGTTTATTGGGCATATAATTATGCCAACAATACTTGGGCAGAAAGTGCTCGTTAAAAAGTTTTTAGTGCGCCCATGGGCGGCATAAGTCCGATGGTTATTCCTTTATTGTTGAAATGCGCTTCACAGTCCGCCATTAAACTTAACGTACCTTGGGGGCATTGTTTGTTCATTGACCTCCATCTCGATCTCCATCACAATTAGCCGCAATTAGCGCGGGCAATTGATGGATTTCGATTTCGATTTCGAATCCGACTTCGAATCCGCTATCTACGCTAATCAGCTATGCCATAATTAATGGGGCACTCGGGTGTGGGTGAGTTGGTATTGCGAAGTAAATCGATTTATTCCCGCCTCGTTGGCCGCCCATCGATCAAGCGGATCCGATCGCAACGGATCGGGAAAAGTCCGTACCGCTTTGCCATATCGCACCGATTCGTAATGCCGAATTTTCCAAAAGAGCACCTATGCACCCATGCAGCCATGCACCCATGCACACAGAATATGGGAGGGGGGTAATGGAAAATAAAACGGTGGAAAATCGGAGAAGTGGCAGTGGCAGTGGCAAAAAACCCATCAATTTGGTGTCCGATAAACAGATAGTCAAGATAGATTGACCGAACGAACGAGCGAACGAAAAGTGTATCTCTGTATCTTTTTGGTGCTGATTTGTATCTTTTTTGTGGTTCCTTTGCAGGTCAAATGTTTCTTATGAATCGATTTTTCGATGGCGAATTTATGACATTTGGCCTGGAAGTGATAGATTATATGGAGACCGATCAGGAAGATCGCATGGATCCGATGATTTACATATTTCCCAGAATGACCAAATGTACATTTTTTAAATATGGTTCAAGTGGGGAGGTGAGTAACGAATGATGCAGCGCTCTCAAAACCCAAGATATAAATAATAATTGAATCTGTTTTTCTAGGTGGAGAAACACGACGCCATTTGCATTTTACCATTAAACGTTGTTAATGAGAAGATTTACATTTTCCTTTGGTTTTGGTTTATATTATTAACGTTTCTCACATTATTAACGCTAATATACAGGGTGGTTATTATATTCTCTCCTCGAATGAGGGTCTACTTATTTCGTATGCGATTTAGGTGAGTTCAAGACACTAGGGGTAGTCACTAGAGATGATTTGGGGATAGGACTAAAGAAAAAAGAAACCGAATTAGTTACATAAAATTATAACGTAACTTCTATCGAAATAATCGGTGACACCATCGGAAATATATTAAATTTCAACTATTGTAGATTTAAAATATAATCTAAAGCGTTATTAATGAGGTTTATCTTTTATTCATTATCATTCCATATTTAATTACAATCGAAATTTAGCTATCGATAAATTTCCAGCTCTAATCGCTAAGATTTTTTACACGTTTTTCATGGCAGTGACATGCGAAACATAAAGAGATGGTGTTTTTTATCCCCTTATCAACTCTAACGATTGTCGCAACTGTATACACAAATGTTTGAAACATAATTACTTATCGATATTTTCCATTTACAGGTTAGTGCGTCGTGACGCTATTGAAATAATCGTTCGTCGTTCGAAGATGGGCGATTGGTTTTTGTTGTATTTACTAGGTGAAAACATAGATACCGTTATATTTCGTGATGTTGTACAGGACTTAGCGAATCGTTTAGGACATAACCAACACCACAGGGTGCCTGGCTTAAAAGGTGAAATACAGGATGCATGATATTGGGAGTATTAGAAACAATACAAAATGCAATTTGTCGTCTCCATTTGAAAACCATCGAAATCAACAAATCAAATGTCAACAACAAAAACAAGACTAAGTAAATGCAAAAAAGATACTACAACCACAAAGGAATCTAGAGATCTTCGCAGCAGCCGCTTCATTAACAAACTCAACACACACCGCTAAAAAATCTTTAAAAAAACGTATCTCAAAAATACAACCAAAAAAACTATCGTCAGCGCAGTCAGTCATAAATCAGCATTTTCAACCATGGAGACCATGATCGATAGCCGGCTAAGTCTATCGATAGTCGAAACAGAACAACACACATCCAAGCACAGGGCATACAAAAAAAATGGAAGCGGAAGGAAGCAGGGAGACATATGGACAAAATAGGAAAACATCTAAACAACCACGCAACGAAAGGAATATTAAAAATCTCAGTGTCAATCAATTAACGTAACGACAAAATGGACAATGGATATATATAGAGCGAAAGATAGAAATGAAGGAAGTCTTGGGACTTCCGGACAGGACTCCCAAGTCGGTGGCAAGTAGCGCCTGCCGCTGGCCAGGGGTCACAAGGTCACATGTCACAAGGGATCGCTTGGGAAATCAGCGATCAGCGACCCATAGAATAGTTGCCCCCAAGGACAAGGTCAAAGTGTGAGAAGAACAGGAAAACAACAGCATCCAAATGGACAGCACCGGAAACGGAAACAGACATCCACACACATTACGCACACACACACCCACACAGATGACGCCAAACACACACACTCAAACACGCTTACAGCGACATCACTCATTCGCCCCGTAGAACAAACACACACACACACACACACACACATCGCACTTTGCTTGTCATGCAGCGTTAACTAAACCAAACATCAACAAAGTCGAGACGACGCCCGCGGAAAATTGCATTTCTGTATTAACCCCAAAAAAATGAGAAGAGAAGAAGGAAGAAAATCCGAGAGGATCAGCATCACTTTCACCGAGGAAAAGCAGGAGTTCACCATACCAAAACGATTCAAGCAACAACAACAGTAGCAGCAACAGCAGCAACAACAACAACATAACGGGCTGGGAAAAAACCATTTCCGCCTGAAAAACGAAAAAATAAAAAAAAAGGAAATGCAGCAAAAGAAAGTCAAGAAAAACGCATGTGGAAATCGCAGAGAAGATTAACAGTTTAATTAAATTAAATTCAATTCAATTAAATTACTTATTACAATGATATCTTGAAGTGTTCATGTATTCGAATGTAGGTTAACTAAGTCAAGCATACAAATAATTCTACATATATAATATATATATTATATATATATATATATAAACAATTTTTTTTTCTAACTCTAAGCATTTGTATTACCCGCTAAACAAATGAACAACAAAACAAAACAAAAAAGAAATGAACAAAAAAAAAAAAAAGAAAGAAAGAAAAAACAACCAAAAAAAAGCAAACTGAAAACAGAATTTTTTGTATACAGAAAACGAAAGAAAATTAAAAATCTAAATGAGCAGATAGAGAAATAATGATAAAGAAAAAAAAGAAAAAACCGAGACGAAACGAACAGAAAATATCAGTAAATATCAAAGAAAGTTCAGAAAATACCATACCGAATACCGAAAACCGAAACAAAAGATACATTTACATAGTTTAATTAGAAGAAACTATAGCGCGCATCATTATATAACCGAAAAAAAACCGAAAACCGAAAACCGACCGAACAGAACGCAACTCCCACAACAAAGACAGACAGACGGAAACGGAAATGTTTTAAGCTCACACACACTCCCCACACACAACACACACACAAACACAGACACACGCGAATATAGCATGTAAAGCATATAAATATATATAATTATCGATCGATCATTCAGCAAAAGAGAGCAGCCAACATTCGCAGCATAAATCAATTAACTCCACTAATAATAGAGCATACTCAAATCTCTCTCTACGATAATACGCCTAGTACTCAAGCGGAAAATGCGAAAATTCCCCAGGAAAATCGGGCGGAGAACGCACGCTTTGCCACATGAATCAAGTGTAAACATAACGATAATAATATAATACCGCTAGCGAATAAAGTCCCAAGCATGAGGGTTCAGTTTGGAGTTCGACAATTTGTCAATTTGACAATTTGACAATTCGACAATTCGACAATTCCCATCCCTCCATCCGGGTCAATAGGCATTGCAGATGGGCCTACGGTAGAGCCTTCCTATGACAGCCCCTTCCGACAGTTACCAGTCATCCACCCATCCACGACTCCATCATGTGCTACAAATCGTAATATCCGTCCAGAAAACCTTTTGAAGCGCACTCTCTCCGTTGAGAGATCCCGATCTCTCACCCTCTTTTTTTGGATACAGATCTTTGATCTGGGATCCATCCGACTTCCGTGTGCTCCCAAGAAGAAATGGACCAAAGAACCAGTCGCACAGATGACTCAGAAAGCTATCACCCCCCTGCCCCCTTCCACGTTTTTCCCCCCCCCATCTCTCAAAGGACGACCAAATCATAGCCAGAAAAAGCCAAGCCAGAGATGCAAATCTAACAACAAAATCACTGCCAACAAAACCACTTAAAGTAAAATCAAGTTAAAATAGTTAAATGGTGGAGGGTCTTTCACAAAAAGAAGTAAGGAAAAAAAGGAAGGTATTACCAAAGGCTCAACTGCAGTGCCGCAAGTAGTAAAGAAAAGCAAAAGGAATTAAGATTGTTCCTTGTCTCAGAATCAGGAATTGCCGATATGGACCTGCTCAAACCTCAATCCTTTCGGGAATTACTTTGGATTCAAATCATCTAGTTTGAGTGCTTGTTTCCGTCTACTCACACTACTCAGCATACTCAAAGACGCATTACAATTTAGAGGGAGAAGAAGTGGGGTTGAAGGTTGAAGCGAAAAAACAATAAGTGTAACAATAAATGGTAATAAGTAATTTTAGCGTATTTTTTTTTTAAACAGCTTATAGCCAACTAAGTGAAAGTAATTGTAATTCTAGTTCAAACTGAAACATTTTTGTCTGCGTATTTTTTTTGTCGTGGGTTCGTAGGTTAAGTCACACACACACACACATACAGCCACAAACATAAACAACACCAACACACACACAGACACAGACACGCAATAAGTGAAACGGTAAACGAAAAGCAAATGTATAAATATCGAGGATACTTACACTGTAATTATAGGGGGCGAATAAGAAAGGAATACCATACCAAAACGTAAGCATATTACAAGGAAATTGCCATTAGTCGATAGTGTTAAAGCGATACGTATATGATCTACATGCTAGGCTAACGAAAAAGAAAACCAAACATATAAATGAAACCCAAGAATACTTAGTGTAGCTCAAGATGGAATCTCTCGTATCTCGTAAATCGTAACTCGTAACTCGTAAATCCAACTAAAAGCAATTGTAAAATATCGTAACAGGTCCTGGGGGCGATCGAACAAGCAAACAAAAGTAAAAGCAAATGCTAACGAACAAAACGCAAGACTTTATTTTTCAAAGTGTTTGCCGCAATATATTAACTCGATGAATTCGAATTGTACTAGCTGAATCTAGTGGTTAAGAAGGACATTTCATAAACGCAATCCTAGAAGCAATAAGCACAGGCGAAAACGGAAACGGAAACAGAAACAGAAACAGAAACAAAAACGGTAACGGAAGCAGACAGAGCTAACGGTAACATCGATGACTTTTCACCACGTTTCACCACCTCCAGTACAGTTCTGTCCACTTCTCACCACACAGCACGGCACTTCTCTCTCTTTCTCTCACTCACTCACTCTTTTATCCCGTCTCTTTCCCACTAAAAAATGTTAAATCAGAGTTAATAGATTGTTTCCACCAAAACAAAATCTTAAAAGACTATGTTTTATGTAAATGCCGATATGTCAGTACGAACAATGCTTTTTACTGACACTCGGTGTGAACAGGCCATAGAAATCCCATTGCGACATTGAGACTATAAATCATATAAATCCGACTTAAAAGTTAATGAATCTGTAAAAATAATCGAAAATTCTGTTTAAAATATTGTGTATTTGCTTTTCAGTGCCCCATAATCTCAATTAATGTTTGTGTTTGTTTGTTCATTTGTTCATTTGTTTGTTTGTTTGTTCACGGTCTGGATTTGGTTTCTGCCATATTGTTTGTGTATAATTATTATGTATTCTTTGGTGGCTAAGTTAAGGTTTTAGTTCTGTAACTTCTACCGTACTTTCTCACTCATTTGTTCTTTCGTGCAATAAAAACGAGACTTGTATACATATCATTGTTTATTTGGTTTTATTTTGGGGTTGCCTTGCAGATTCACCACCCACCTGTTTTCCATTTTCTCCCCTTCTCTTCTCCCTCTCTCTCCATCTCTCTCTCTCTATTTTTATCCCTGTCTCTATCTCTCTTTCTCAGCACCCTCACAAAAAAGCGAACTCGAAAGTCAATTTCTCACGGCTCTAATAACGCAATGAAATGAACCAAGAAATCGAATGAACTAAAAGCAACAATTAGTGAAGCATATTGGTGAAATACTCGTAACTTATATTTTAAATCGAATTAGTGAGTGATTAGCGCAACGGTAACGATAAAAATACAATTTAGTTAAATTCCCTAGCAGAATCGAATCGAATTGAATAGTGAGAACTTTTTATTAGGAAGCGAAAGCGTTTTTTAAATTGTATATTAATCGAATCAAAACTGTAAAGAACCACAACTAAACAAGTATTGCATACAAATTGAAACTGCCAATTCACATTCTCAGACAAATTTTTACGAAGCTAAAGCTGAAAAACCAAAACTTAAGAACACCCAATTAATAGCACTAAGCGAAAATATACAAAATTGCTGAATATTACCGACAAGCGAAACAAATATCGAACTCGTATCTAGATCATTAACTAGGCCCACGACATTGACTTTGACTTTTGACATTTGAGCCTCCTTCGCTTCGTTTCCCCCGATTTTCGATGCTCGATTTTCGATTTCCGATAAGCAATGTATCTGTATAACTGATGCTCGGCAGTCGATATTCGACATCCAATATCGGATTGCGGTTCAGGCTTACTTAAGGCACTTAGCGTAAATATCAATTTGTGTGTGTGTGAACAAATAGCAGACAATAATTAGTGAAGGGAACTTTTTAGACGAGATCGCAGGTCCAGGGCCGAAATGTCAAGGAAAAAGCTGTTTTCTTGGACTAGGGGGGCGTGGCTGGGGATTTTCACGAGCAGCTAATTTATTGTCTTCCATCTTAGCGTACATATTTCAGTACTCTAGTCAAAACACTTTGTTTCCCGAACAGGAATATCGTAAGTTGCAGCTTAAATGTGATTTATTCTTTTTTTTTTATCATCTTGTTATCTGTTTTTATTTCGATTTTCTTTACTAATGCCACGCCCCCAAGATCTCAAAGGCTTGAAGATGATAGAAAGAGATTTATTTCGTTGGTGGCCCAGAGTTCAGCAGCAAAGTTAGCGAGCAGCATTTGATGGAGTGTAAAGGAAAACTGCCTTAAAGTGATTTTCAAGTGAGACCGATCGATCAACCAGCTAACCGTGTATATATTATATAAAAGCCGAGTCGGTTGGATTTTTTTTTACTAAAAGCAACAACCTACGAGTAAGCCTAACTTTTAACACAAGAACAAACAACCACACACACGTACTGTACATAGCCAGCAAATATACATATATATATATATACATATATACATATATATATAGATATATATATATATATATTTATATATATATATATATATATATATATATATATACAAGCATATACCTATATATAAAATGTTTTATAACGAAGTGGATTAGTTGGTAACCGTAGAGCGAGACATCTTTAGCAAAATTACACCTAAGTTTTCCAGATTCAGATGACTTTTTAACCAGACAAAAGCGAAAGGCAAGAAGCAAAAAGCAGCAGGCTGGCAGGTAGACATATTATGAAATGATGATATTATGAAATTATGAAATTATAAAATTATGTAGAAAAGCAGTCGAGAGTAAGGAACTATTTGTATTTCAACTTGTTTTCCAGAAGATCCTAAGTTTAGTCAAACGTAATGTAATGTAAATGATAAAACGAAACAAACGTATGTAAAATAATTGCATAAATAATTTCAAATATATTCGCCGATTGCCTTCAACTAGAGGAATTTTGATTACACTTAATAACGAATACTAAATAATTAATAATAATTAAATAATGCATTGAATATTTATACAAAACAAAAGGTAAAAACAACTATAAATATATGGAAATGAGGTAGGAGAAATGTAGGAGAAGCAAACGCAGAAAAGCAGACGCAGACAGAGAACAACAAATCTACACAAAAATGAAATTCAAAAAGAACTGAAGTAAAAACAAAGATTTTAAAGCAGTAACAAATGGCAAACAAAAGAGAACAAATGAAGAAAATAAATAAGAAAACAAGATAAAGCATTCATATTTGTACACTAAAGACCCGTTAAGGAGTACGCAACTTATACACGCAATATTAGACTAAACCAACTTCGATAACCAATGAACGATAGATGCCCCAGCCCCCAACAAAACAAGGACAGGGTGCCCGAAAAAAAACCCCATCTTCGGCTGCTTCAAAAAAATCGATTACTACTTTTTTTTTGTTTGTTAACTAGAGACACTCGCACATATCCAACGAAAGACGTCGATTACTTTCCATCCCCATTCCTATCGAAAGACCACCACCCCTAGATACGCACACCCCCAAGAATCGAAAACGAAACCGATGGCAAAATCGAACTCGAAATCACAACCACAATTACGATAACAATTACAATGGCCACCACAACCACAGATGCACAACCACTGGAGCGAACGAAATGCGAATTAAAAAGAGGATGTAGGAGCTAAAAGGAGTAGATCGAATCTAGTGAATACTTTTAGGCGTTAAGCGTACTTCTAGTTTGTATCTCTTATATACACACAGATATATCTAGGTATATGGATATAGCATAATTATACAGATATACAGACCTATGGATAACTCAAATACCGCATACAACTAGCCAGTGAAACGAAGATCGATAGTAATCGATCAGAATCGATTGGGGAGTAGATCCAATCTTTTTTTTTTTTATAATTGTACTTGTATGGTAATTGCTAACGGTAAAGGCAATGGTAAAAGGTAAATGGTAACGGTGACGGTAAACGGTACGGTAATGGACATTTAACTAGTTATAACGTGCAGTTATCGTAATTTATGATTATCGATTATTGAGTCTTGAGTACGATTATTACGGAACGTTTAATTTTGTTAATACGAAAACAAAACGCGAGCATGGTTAATAAAGCTTTAATTTGAAGCTATATAGGTATATATATACGCCCATATATATATATACACAAACACACATGACACAACACACACACCCACACACCAACACACACACACACAGTCAGACAAGGAAACGTCCTCAGTTTATAAATTTTCAAATGAGTGACATGGAAAACTTGAAACGAAACGAATACGAAACGAAACGAAAACACGTAGGCAGTACGGATTAGGTCTTAAGGCCCCATATAAGTAACATACAATTAAAATTATTTATCGAATCAATTTATTATTGATGGCAAATGGAAACGATAGCGGAGCGAAACGAGTCGATAACACGACAGCGATGGCGATACCGATAGCGATAACGATAAAGGGAAGGGAGATGGGTCAGTGATATATACATATATCGGTCACATACGATCGCGTATCCCGATAATCGTCGATATATGACCGTTATATGTTCGCGTGCCCCGATCGCCATACATATACACACCACATATACTATATGCATAATACCAGTGACGAGAATTTTTAGTCTATACTAATCGAACGGATCCGATCGGAGAAGGAGGAAATGAGGAGGCAAACAAATCTATATACAATACATGGCATACACTTATATGAAGCCCCTATATTGAGGATATAAACGTGAATTTTTAGCAGACTAAGTAATAAATTATACACTCACAGGCGGACATAATCGAACTAAACACACACACAAACACAAAGGCGGTATACAGATATATATATATATCTATATATACGTCAGCAATACGAATACCAGTAATAATAATACTATGCAATAAAGCGAGGAGGAGTGAGTACTAAGCGGAAACGGAAGTGGAGGAGAGAACACCTAACATTTAAGACACTGAACAAAATTAACTCGACTTGTAAATAACACACTCACACGCATACTCACCAACACACACTCACACACATACATACAGACAGACCGCAGACAACCACATCAGTATACATACACCCACTTTCACTCTAACACACACACACACATTTTACGATTAGTTAATTTTACAAACTAAAATTATTGCAGCAGGCGCATTACATTTAAAGAAATACAACTAAAAAATGGCAGAGCGAAACGAAAATAAAACCAAAAATCATATGCATTAAAGTAAAGTAAAGGCAAAGACAAACAAAGGCAGAAAAGGCAAATGCAAATGCAAATGCAATGGCAAAAGCAAAGGCAGAAGCAAAAGCAAAGCGAATGAGCCCAGTGGGTGAAAAGGGGCGAGGGGAAGCTCTCCCCCCGAGCCACGCCCCCCCGCCCCCGAACGCCCTTCAAAATATAAAAGGCCAGGGACGTTGATGGGAATTAATAAATTACCAAGTAATATTATAAAATATTATTATATAAATTATTATAATTATAAATTATTATTAAAGAAAGCAAGCAACAAACGTAAAAACCAAACAAACAAGATTAAAAATACAAAACGAAAAAAACGAAAAACACAAAAAAAAAACAAACAAAACCAAACATAAACCAAAAACACATTATTATAATGCGATAATTGAGTAATCAACAAAACGAATTGACAACGTTGTATGATTTTGATCAGAAAGTAATAAAAACAATTTTCGATTTGTTACGAAATATACATAAATATCCAGTGGCTTTTATATAACGGGAGTGTGGGGCTTTCGTTTAGTATTCTAGCTGGTTTGTCCAAGGTAAGACAGCTCAAAATGTAGCTAAAATCAAACTGAAACTTAAAAAGTTAAAATAACTACAAAACTTAAATTAAACAGAAAGTCTAATATTGTCTTTTGATTTTTACTTTTTTTTTGTTTATTTTAAACATAAAATGTAAGTTCTAAATTTATAAATTGGTTATAAAATTATTTTATAACACTTGCTGGCGCTTTCTGGCGGCTACCGTTGGAAGCTTGGTATTCATGTCGAATTACATGTAGATAGTGATCTGTAAGATACTTGGAGTATACAC